AGCGAGCAAGCTGACCAAGAGCTAGCCACTAGGCTTTCTCCTCCAAGTACCTATTGTACTTTTTTTTGCAAATTCCCAACATTTAAGCATCTAAAAGAATGGAAGAGAGATCGTTTTTCCGTCGGCCGTGGTGATGTTGTGGGTCCGCGTGTGTTGGCAGAGTTCCGCGAGGCGTTCCGGCTGTTCGACCGCGACGGCGACGGCAGCATCACGCAGCTGGAGCTGGGCCGTGTGATGCGGTCGCTGGGCCAATTCGCGCGCGAGGAGGAGCTGCGCCTGATGCTGCGCGAGGCGGACGCCGACGGCGACGGCAACGTCTCCTTCGAGGAGTTCGTCAGCATCGTGTGCAACTTGGGCGCGGCGGGCGCCGGCGCAGCCTCCACCGCCGAGGACGAGGAGCGCGAGCTGCGCGACGCCTTCCGGGTGAGTGAGCGCCTCAGCCTGCGTCTGGCCGCCTTCAGCGCAGTGTGCACGCTGGGTATATCAAGTTCACTACGCACCCTGGGTACCTCGAGTATGCTGCCCACGCTGGGTATCTTAAGTTCACTACTCACCTTGGGTACCTCGAGCATGCTGCCCACGCTGGGTATCTCAAGTTCACTACGCACCCTGGGCACCTAGAGCATGCTGCCCACGCTGGATATCTTAAGTACACTACCCATCCTGGACACCTTGAGCGTACCTTGCACTCCCTGGGCACGCTGGGCACCCTGAACACACTTGCATTGTGGGCACTATGACACATTGCGAATACTGGGTATTCTCCGCCCTCAGTGCGCCGCACACTGCAGTCTGCACTCCCAGAGCACATTACACACGCTGGGTATCTTGAGTCCACTGCGTGCCCTGTGCACCTTCAACACTTGACACGTTGGACCCCTTGAGCATGCACACTCTGGGCACGCTGCGCACCCTGAGGACATTCCACACTCTGGACACTATGGTTCACTGCGAATTCTGGACATTCTCTGCCGTCAGGGCATGTTGAGCACACTGCACTCCCTGAACACACTATGCACGCAGGGTATCTTGAGCTCATTGCAGCACCTTCAGTGAATAACGCATCCTGAGCACTTTGCGCACGTTGGATATATTGAGCACATCAAGTATCCTTGGCAACTTAAGTACCTTACGCACCCTCGATATCTTAAGCATCTGTACACTCTGAGCACGCTGCGTAATCTGAACTCCTTGCACGCACTGTATCTGGGCACAACAATAATTCTGGGCATTCTCCACTACCAGAGCACCTTCAGCACACTGCGCTCCCTGAACACTATTCACACCCTGGGCACGCTGCGCGTCTTAACCACCGCGAACTTTGAGCAAACTACGCATCCTGGGAACACAAAATCGTACGTACAGGACACACACTGCAAATCCAGAGTATACGAACGCATCTTTGGCACCTTGAACACACTGCACACCCTAGGCTCCTAGAGCATCCTGTGCATCTTGAGCACACTGCTCTCTGAGCACACACACTGGGTAACTTAAGTACCCTGCACTCCCCGGGATTATTGTACACACCACGCTCACTGGGCTCGCAGTAATCCCTCGGCACACTTCCCTTCAGGCTCTGCTCACCCATTCTGCGAATTAATGCTTTGCTTCGACCCGTAAACATTCAAGACTTCTGAGAGGCTTCCAAATCCCATTACCATATTTGAGGAATATAGATGGAAGAGTCACATTTTTAGCATAATATTTTCTATTTTTCTGAAGAAGCACATAATACTTTCATTCATTTGTATAAACTGATTATTATTGTTGGCGAGTAAATTCTACTATATTATTATATTGTCGATCATCGCAATCAGGCAAAAAATAAGTGTACTTAAATCTATTGCACTATCCTGTTTATACAAAAGCTTCGATTTTATTTTGTACGCGTATTGTGCACGTAATTCGCCTCGTTCTGCTGTTGATGAGAATCGATACATCGAGTCGAAGTGTATAAAAATTGTCAAAAAAAAAGTTCCCCTTCCGAATATTTTACACCAGTTACAACGTAGACGTAGTTCATTTCATGTGCGAAGATCTTACAAATACGTCAAGCGGAGAGGCTTCCCGGAACGCTCACCGGAAAATCCTACGCTGCGCGGCCCAGTCCCACCATCGCGGCAGGTGTCCTCGGGTGAGCGCGCTCTGGCGGCTCCAAGGCCTCCTGCATTGGTCCCGGCAGCGTCCTCGGCCACCGCCTCCTCTTCCTCTTCTCCTCTCCTCTCCTCTCCTCTCGCAGCCAGTTTTCCCCCCGCTGCCGTGTCTTGCTTTTCGATTTTCACTAATGAGCTAAATGACAGGGTGACGTTGAAGAAAGTTCTTGAAAGCGCAGACACAAAGAAAGAAGTTGAAAGTGCACCCACTTTATAATGAACACGGGCGTTTTTGTTATTTAAAATATATTTTAAATAACAAAAAAATCTCGTGTTTTAGAATTACATAATAATAATAAATCCCTTTTTATAAACTATGGCAATTAGTAGGCCAGCGTGTCATTACAAGGATCACTTGAAAGGTTGAGGAAATATCATGAACCGTTTCATTTCCACGGGCTATTTATATTTCTTACGCAGTAATACCAGATGTTCGACCTCCCGATGCCATGGAATTTCCACATACAAACAATTGCCAATGAATTCAAAAATAAGGATTGAAGGTTAAATAAATTAATAGATTTACTCAATTGTAACGTGAGTTAAGTTTATATTCCATGTACTATGTATATATTAATACATTCAAACATATTGTGTATATATATATATATATATATATATATATATATATATATATATATATATATGAAACATTTATTTCCTTTCAATGGTTAAGTTCAGCAATTCCATATCCGAAAACAATCACGGACTGCAATCCCCATTGCCAGTCATTATTTTAAGTCGCCCCTCATTCCTCGTGGATTGCTGAATCTAATATATTTCAATCCACTGTGGTAATGCATATAAAAAATGGTCAGATACTGACAAAATCACACTTCTTTCTCTCTAGGTGAGCAGTGTAACTCATTCAAATCAATAGTAATGAATATAAAAAATAATGGTAATATTAACAACACAATTTGAGAAACATTGTACGTCATTTTGAGACGAATCGCTATCATTTACGATTTCGAAAGCAATGACTTCATGCCCAGATCGCCGGGTTCTCGGCGCAATTGCAACGTCGAGATAGTTCTTTCGTGAGTAGTTTCACCGCACGGCGGAGGCGTCGCGATTGCAGTGGAGCGGAGTGGAGTGGGCAGCGGCGCGCGGGGCCGCCCCGACCCAACCCAGCCGGGGCCTCCGGTCGTTCGCGGAAAAAACAAGACCTCTCGCGTCGCCAGAAACGGCCGTGCGGTGCGACCTCTGGCCCCGGGCCTTCGGTGACCCTGGCCGGCACGCACTGTCACGCTCCTCACCTGCCTGCACGCTGGCTCGACATCGTCTAAACGATACTCGCGATTTATCTTTTTTTTTTTTAATATATGAATTCAATGTCTGAGCATTTTTTTTACCATTTGCGTACCCCTTGCACTTAAATTATTACTCGACAAGGAACATGTCTGAAGTGGATGGATCAGCAGCATCGTAGAATACAAGAGGGAGACGAGTTTACGCTGCTAAAATCAAACAAAAGAATAACCGTGATATGGGTTGACTATCATTTGCGAAACAACTTTCACTTTGTTAAATAATTTAATCGCATTAAAACGTCTCTTTACTGAGATATTTCTCATCTTTCCTTGTTATTGTTTTATTCAAATTAGCCCTTCCTTCCCATCACTTCATATCAGATGCAAATGCATCACTGTTCCTAATAACAGGCTTTAGGAATTACATGTTACGACATACCGAGTCGGATGTAAACATCGCTAATTCTAGAAACTGCTGGGTCATTTATTTTGTTTGTTGGCTTCCAACGTCTTTGAATTATTCCCGGTTCTGTTTCTGCCACATTTTCGCCGACTTCACAATGATTGTGCATTCAAGTCTCCCGGGGGAACAATTTTGAACGCCTCTTCTTGTTTGTCCAATTATTATTCGCAGTGCATTGCTTCTCAGTCGACGAGTGAAGGTTATCCAAGACGTGAGCCTGCGCAGAAGTTTGTGATGAGCTATAAAAGTTGCTTATGAGTAACGGAAATGGTAACGTGACAGCATACCGGATGTAATAAATTCTAATAGCCGTTTTATTTCGAATAATGGAGCTTGTGTAGAACCATAACAAAACAAGGCAAAGGTAGATACTCAGGAAGGAGGGTATTCGGAAGGATTCATGTCCTTGTTAGGTACACTTATTACTTTTCACGTAATTGTGTATAAAACGAAGAACATAATTGTGTATTAGAAAAGTCGCTCATATGTAATAAGATTCCTTATATTAAAGGAAGATGTAAAAAGAACTTATAGTTTATTAGAAAATGCATTTATTTATAATAAGTTCGTATTAATGAATTCTTTTCTAATTTCTATTGTTTTCTAATAAACAATTATTTTTTTCTTTATTATACAGAATACAGCTGACGTAATGGTTATTATTTCGGAGTATTTCTCACTCTTCCTTGTTTCTGATACGGATGTCTAAGCCGAAATGTTTAAAACAGAATTTGGTAGATACAGTAAATTTAAATCATCAAAAATACATTTTTAGCTTTTTCGCATTTTCACGAACCGTATTACTAAGATTTACAATTTAAACATTTAAATATGAATAACAGAAATCATTTGAAATTTATGTGTGTAGCTTCTGAAAATAATTTTAGAATACTTTAGTTATATTTAAAAGGGAAAGGCAGAAATAAAGATTAATCAATTGTAGTGTATGAGTTTTATGAATACTAACAAATGTCATTCACGTTTTAAAAACTAATAAAAATGTGAATATCACATTTCTCTCACCAAGAAGAGTTTAGTTTCCTTCGAGGGAAGGAGTTTAGTTAATTCAAGGAAACGAGTTTAGTTTTCTTCAAGGGAAGAAAGGTTTAGTTTCCTTCCTATCCGGCCATGGATAAACAGCTTGAAGACTATTCCGTTTTGTTGTTACAGGTTTTCGACAAACACAACCGTGGTTACATCAGCGCCTCCGACCTGCGTGCCGTTCTCCAGTGCCTCGGCGAGGACCTGTCCGAAGAAGAAAGTGAGTACGGCGCACTAGCCAAAGTCTCTTAAAGCACTCTAAAAATAATTCACTGACTGAAAACTACTGGCGGCTTTTATGGGAAGAGTAGAGTCCAATAAAGTAGACCACCATAAGAACATACGTATGTTTGTTTTTTCCCTTTGGGATGGAAAATAACTACGAGCACAATGGTCTGACGGACGAACTACTCCTTGTAGCTGCAACCGTCATTCCACGAATATGCGGAGTACTTGTGTCAATCGATATTCCAACAAGCAGGCATAACCACCAATTCTCCAGTGGCCAGGTATAACCACCAAATCTCCAGTGTCCAATCACTAGTACCGTTGTAAATCATTTCCGTGACTGATCCATGTATTCTGCCGTAGTCGCAGTTAAATTTTCGCAATAACGATACAAAATAAATTATTTTTACTCTTTTATTAAGATAATTTTTTTTAGAGAAACATGAAATTAATCTGATACCCATGAATGTAGTAGGAGTTTTATTTAAAAAATAAATGTTTGTATTTAAGTACGGTTTGTGTATCGAGTTATAGATAAAACTTGTTTGAACATTCAGATTGTGTTTACATCCAACTCGCTCTCTTTCCCTAGTGTAGTGGCTTCGTAGCTCAGGAGTCCATAGTACCTGCATTCTCCGAACAACTCCCGCTCAATTAGCCAAGAATGCAATTACGAGGCGGTGGCATGCTTCGCCCCGTCTCTGCCGTTTAATTACGCCACAAGTATGCTCTCTACAGTATGAACCAGGAACGGCATTTGCTTTGGCTCATTTGCGAACAGATAGGAGTGGATTAAGAGACGGTTAGGACTTATCTTAATATAAAATAATTTATCAAAACAAAATTGTTTTTAAATAATATACCCGTGATACTACCCCAACTATTTGGTGTTAGCTAAATGAATTAATTGAGTTTCTCATTTATTAACAATTCTGGCAAGCGGACAATATAATATCGGACAATCGGACAATCTTTAAAGCGGACAATCTTTATAATGTAAAGAAATGAAACGAAAAAGCAATACACCGCAATATAGTTATAGTTATTTTTATTGAGCTTAAAGTTAAAGAAAAAATATAGATGATAGCATAAAATATAAAATGTAAAATTACCTTTTACAATTATATTTTTAAAGTATTTACTTTGAAATTAAATAAAGTAAATCTCATTGAAGACAATATTTTAGGGAATCGTTTGGTGTTTCACAGTCGGTAACAAATACTAGGGGAGCCCTCTGTCGTTCTGCTCACCGACAGGTCGTGTAGATGGGATCCCAAATTAACGTTCGACCTGGTTACCAAACTTTCAAATGAGTCCCCAACCATCTCTGTAGATGGTCGGGTGCCATTTATAGTTGCTCAATTGATGCCAAACACATATGCTTACCTTTATATTAATATTTAACTTTTGTAATTAATGCTCATTGAAAACTGAAAATAAGCAACTTATTTTCGGAAAAAATTATTATTTTCGCGAGGCTTTTCTCTACAAGGCTGTGACCGTCAAATGGTGATGATATGTCTATTCTATGTAAGAAAGTTAAAGGATGTTAATATTTAAAAAGGCTTTTGAAAAGTTGACTGTTTTACAGCTCAGGAAAATAATATTTTATAAAACATGTTTTCATTGTTTTATTAAAACAGGTTTTCGTCGCTGACGATTCATTTCGTGAGTTGTAATACACAATAACATTGTAAATTCTAATATTCTGTATTAGACTGTATTACGTTAGACGTCTTCCACTGCAATCAGCAAAATGAATCAGAGCAAATTTTTAGAGATGTTGTACCCCACAAGTATGTACTTCCTTCAGACGGTACTGAAAAGAAGTAGTCAAAGGGTTTTGTGGTCAAATAAGGAAAACTTGGTATTTGCTTACAGGAGAGACATGTGCTAGTAACTTCCGGGTGTGATTGTGAATAAAATATGAGTGTCTTGAGCCCAAATGTGTTTGAGGAAAATTTGATGAAGGAAATGTCATGAATACTGATTCATAAATTATAAATATATGGAATATGCCTTATGATAACCTCAAACCTCATCATTCTTAATATTTTAATCTATTGTATTTCCCCGCAAAGCAAACCATTTTGATTGAGGGCAAGTTGTATGTAGTTGTTCCGAAGAGTGAATTTCAACCGGGTCACAAGCAGGCATTGTCACGCATCCTGGAATGTGGGAGCCTATTCCCAAACGTTCCCGTTATTTTGTGCGAGCAGACATCCTAAAGGAAAAAAGTAAGAGGGGCGAAATGGAGTTGAAAGTTCCGGCCAAAAGCTCTGCAGTTGAAATTTTGGATTCCAGTTGCGATCGTTGTGCGTCTTCATTACTTTCAAATTTGGAAAACTAGTGTTTTCTTCTTTATCAACGTCCCATTCCTACTAAAAAAGCTGTTAAAAGATATCATGCAATCCTGGAGAAGAGAACCGCTTAAGAGTAACGAAGTACAAATTTTAAATAAAAGTTAAATAAAATAACGATAACTTACATTACTTATTCTGTAAGCTACCTACCTAACAGCTTGAATTATTATATCATGTTAATTACCAACTGAAATCACTCATTATCGAATATCCATGGTTTCGCATGCGTAAGCAACCACATATCAGAGACCTGCCTTTGGCTTTCCGAGTAGTAATTAGCGTGGCATAATAAGTGGTGGCATGTTTTTGCCTTTCACGCCACGATCTCGTCGGTTCCGAAGAAGTCACGGTTAAAACATGCACATTGCGGGGGAAAAAGTTTTTAAAATCTGATGGTATTTGAGTTGTGGAGCAATTGCTGAGAAAATGATTTCAGAGCCTTTAAAGAACCCATGAGACTATTTGGCAGTTTATCTTAATCAGGAAATTGAAAAAATGTTATTGTCGGACCCAAAAGCATCCCTTCAATTGTCGTTCTCGTCCCATATTTTAAGTTGCGATTTTTGGTCAGATAATGGAATTATGGTTACAATTACAACATTGATACGTTATGAAATCGATAATTTCAGAATTGAGTAATTATATTAGAACCGAATTAATTTTATAAGAAACAAACACCTACTGAATTTGAAAAAATAATTATAAGCTCATGTTTATAATTGTTGTAATTGGTAATGTTAATGTTAATCCAACATTACAAGTTTTTTGTGTTAAAGTTTCTAATAATAAATTAACTTTACTATCCTTATTGCACCACCGCATTTACGATCTACGAGATTAATTAAAGATGTATGTGATGAGATAAATAATGAAAATTATTTAGTTAAAATATTAAGGATGAATCATAAAATAGTATAAGATGAATAATTATAACATAATGATGAAGACATTTAAAAAAAATAAAAGTTTTATTCAAAGCCCACGGTCCAAGCCATACGTGTCCAATAATGCATCCTCGACAGCGATCAATTCCACATTACAACATAATCTAGACTAAACAGAGATATTTTTATTAATGTAACCCGCAATACTTTTAGGCATTTAGGGTTGCATTTATGCAAATATTGGTAGATACTATACTTTCAATTTTAATCTTTAATAATGCAACCCGCAATATATTTACACATTTAGGGTTGCATATTTACAAATATTTGTATATATTTTGAAGACGCGAAAACCATGCGATGTGGATTGCTGAAGACCCACGAGAGATTGAACCTGGATTCCCCTCGCGAAAAATGTGGAAAGAGGCCAGTGAAGCTTTGTCCACGGAAAGCGTAGTATAGGAATAGGTCCTTCGACGCCTGGAAGTGCCTTTGCGTGGCACCATGTTGAAGATCTTAGGTGCACAGTTGGCTATGAGAAAAACTGCAAGCCCCTTTTGTTGTATTATTAAATGCTGTTTAATTTTTAACTCGCGAAACATCACTTTATCACCAGGTTAATAAATTACGTAAAACGTATTCGAAAAAAGTATAACGAATTCGAAATGTCTGAAGAGGAATAAATTGCTGCATTGTATTCAAAGGGAATTAATTTATCATTAAAAAACTGAATGTGACGTATGTGGGAGAAGTACATTATGTGCAGGTTTTCTGGAGCTCTTGAACCTTTATCACTTCACTTTTACTATACTTCGTTGAATTATAAATAAATTATAAGGTATGTTATAATTCATATTAAAATTTAAAAATAAGAAATTCATCCATGAATAATAAATACTAGTTGAATGTGACATCGTCGACGCTGTAAACTGTTTTAAAAGTATTTTTATGTGTTTAAAAATGTATGTCATGCATACCTTTGCTCAAATAAATCCGTAGTCCCTGGCATTGGACATACCAATGAATCGTAGAATAATGTTTTACTCCTGATCGAAAATTCCCTGCACCCAACGGCCTTGTATATTACCTCCATAGGGGATACAAACGGAAAATATTGCAATTTAAATTATTATCTATTTAGCATTTTTATTTTACAGTCTGGGCCGTTTTCAGCATCCCAATTTCCATACCTCTTTATCCTTTAGTTCTTTTTCCTCCATTTCTCTTTTTTCCATGGCTTAAGTTATTGTCATGTTCCATGTTCTTCTTGATCTTCCCCTGTATCTTCTTCAATTGGGTATGCATTCCCAAACTTTTTGTGAAAGCCTATCCGATTTCAACCTTCTCATATGTCCATACCATTTTAGTTGTTTCATTTCGATCGCCTTATTGAAGGTTGTTTGCACTTTCATTTTATTTAATATATCATCATTTATTTTGTCTAACAGAGAAAGTTTACATGATCTTCGTCAGAACATAATTTCTGTTGAAGTTTGTCTTTCATATTTTTCGTTCGTGACCAGACTTCTGTCACCATAGAGTGTTGTACTCTCTATGAAAGAGCTATATATGCGTTTCTTTGTCTTCGGTCTTAAATTATGAACACAGTAAAAGTACTTGCAGGTATGACTACGTTTTGAATGTTTTTTGCACATTAAAAATCACCTGTAAGCTGCTCTTCAGCGTTATTCTCTAATAAACTCATTCTCAATTGGTTCCGAAAATTCTGTCGTAAAATGTTCTATAGCTACATATGATTCTTCTGAAATTTAATAAAAATATGTTGTTAGTCACATTCATTTGAAAATCAGTACTTGCACGCTTTAGAATGTAAATGTGAGAAGTCGAATATACGAACGTAAATAAGCTTCTGTAGCATTATTCACACTTATTGGTTTTCTCCGTATTTACTTGAAGTTCAAGTTAAATAAGTTCCAAGGCAATGCTGTTCGTACGTTTTTGCATTTTTTTAAAATACAGATGAAACACTTGTATTCAACGCCACCTTCGTAGATTTGTTTGGTTGGCGTTGGTGTAATTCCCGGCCCACTCAGGAAGATCGCAGCTCTAAAATACGTTTTAAAAAAATCTTAGAATCTTCTGGCCGGTTCCAAAAATAAATTATCAGTTCCCCACTAGGAGACCGAGACGCGTCGAGTGTCACCTCAGATGTCTCGACAGATGCACGGAAAGTGGTTAAACGTGAGTGACGGATCTGCACCCACGCAGTTACTCAAATACTGTATGCTTAATAAATATGAATGATAAAAATAATAAATTAATGTATTAATCATTTCAAAATTCCCCTCCAGGTATTTTTCCTTTAATGTGTTAAAGAGTGATTTCGAACACAATTTTGTCCTCGTTCGTTTATATTTAAAGAAAAAAAAATGAAGTTGGTATGTTATCGCACTTTTCACTGCTTATTTTAAAACCACTCAGCTCTCTGCACTGTTTGGTATTTACCCGCAGCAGCCTGCGTCTAAAATTTCACAAAACAAATAGAGTAAATGCGACTGAGGAAACTCGCTCGCTGACCGAATCATGTGAAAAACTCTTTTACCCCTAAAAATGCGAGCGAGAAACTTTTTCAAGAGTGCGGAGTTGGTCTTTTGATTCGATTTTCCACATTTGTCGAAGTGCCGATCGAGAAACTCAAGTGTATGGATGTCAGTAACAGTTCCTTATTCTGATTTTTTCACGTGATTGGTTGCACATTTCTCGAAATGAGGAGCGAGAACGTAATTGGTGGGGGCCGATAAGAGTTTCTTCCTTCGATTTTTTTCACATTGCTTGAAACACTTCGGCTCTTTCTCAAGGGGCGAGCGAGACGCTCTTTCAAATGCGTGAGGAGGGTTAGTCCCTTTTTCGATTTTCCATATTTCTCGTCGTAACGAACGAAAAACTCAAATGTATGTAGACCGGTAAGACCTTTTTTTCGATTTTCCATATATCTCTAAATGGTGAACGAGAAATTTTATTGTCTGGGAACCGATAAGGATTTATTCGATATTTTTCTTATTTCCCGAAACTCTTGCAACTCGGAAGACACGAGCGAGAAACTGAAATGTGTCGGTAGGAGTCCTTCGTTTCGATTTTCCACATTTTTCGCCGCACACTTCTCGAAATGACGAGCGAGAAACTTAGGTATGCTGGGGTCGCTAAGAGTCCCTTGTTCCGATTGTTCACATTTCTCGCAACACAATTCCAGCCTGTAGCCTGTTGTGGGTCTGAGTTACGAGTACGCTTACGACTGTGCTTGTTGCAGTCGAGGACATGATCAAGGAGGTGGACGTGGACGGCGACGGTCGCATCGACTTCTACGAGTTCGTGAACGCCCTGGGGGAGCCGGGCGAGGAGTCGGACGTGGAGGCGGAGGACGAGGACGGCGCGGACGGCGAGTGCTCCCCGCCACCCAGCGCCGGCGTCCCCGAGCGCACCGCCGTCCCCGTGTGAGACGCCCCGCCCCTCGTCAGCCACGACCAGACCCGACAAGGAAAACGCCGCTCGAGCAATCACATCGTCATCACGCAATTACACATTGTTTTGGCATCTCTCCAGACAGGGTTGTCGGAAGCGTGCTAAAAAAGGATGGATTCAGGAAACCCATCTTCCTGGCAGCATGTGCAGCACCCTCCAGCTGAACACCGAAAAGCAAATTCTTTGAATCATAATCATGTTATGTAAAATTACCTTGATTTTCCTGCACAATTAAAATACACTTTCTCAATTTCTACAAGAGGCAAATTCCTGCTCTAATGTTCGTTCCATCTCCTAATACAGCTTTCGAAGTTCCTGGCTTCTGGAGAGATTTGTAGTACATTACTAGGAATTTTTGCGAGAAACAATTCTATTCAAATCATATTTATTAAGTTGAAATTGCAATTTCAAAATCAATAACAATATTAGTACTCACTAATTCAAATGTTGTAACCTTCTTAGTCTGTCAAGGTTTTGCTATTTAATTTGTTATTAAGATCTCTCTCTCCCTCTCTATTCACTTGTAAAACGAGGATATTTGTTTTTGAAATTAGCACTTCATAAACTTTAAAGTTAAATTATATCTGAAAAGTAGGCCTATATTAACATTCTATTTGTATGTATTTAAAACCAGAAATGACTCGTGTTTCATAGAACAACAAATGAAATCGAGATATTCATAATTGGAATTTGGAGGCTCAATAGTCAATTTTAAAATCTAGGTGTGGATGTTATTACTCTCAGTTACTGAAAGAATCACGTTAAAAAAAAGGTTGTCCTCGTTATAACTACTTTCTTCTGTAGCAATTTTAAAGTTTCAATTTATGCATCTTGGAAGTAAACAAATCAAAATGCTGATGATCTTGATAAGATTTTCAAACCACACTAGACGTTCACTATTGATAATGGAAAAATTGCAATGCAATGAAATGTATATCAAGAACAAAATTTGGACTGAATATTTGGTTCAGCAGAAATGTCATATTTTTTAGTAAAATTTGTAATGAGTTTGGTGGTAAAAATAAATCAGAATACTTATTAAGAGGTAAATAGTTACCAGAAAACGCATCTATTGCACTGTCGGGTTTGAATTACATCAGATGAAAGCAGTAGTGCAGAGGTCAAAGGCAGACGAATTTTCTTCCTGCCCCCTACCCTCCACCCTGACAATCCACCGCCCAAGGTGGAAAATAAAAAAAAATGGACGCTTCTTCCTATCTACAGAGATTTATATAAAAGATCTCTCTCATTCCTCAACATTTGTGGAAATATATGCATGCCCAATTAGAAATGGTTCTGTTCTTATTCAGATGTGTAGAGAATTCTCAAGTACTCTTCATTATGAAGAACAAAAGAAACTTCAAAATTTGCAAATTAAATTTGTAGATCTGCTTTTACTTCTACTCAACAAAAATGACAGGTTTTGGCTTAACTGAAATAAGCACAATAGGGTATGCATATAACAATTACCACAGCTTCATTTACATACATATCATTTGTTACAAATGTCATTTTGCATCATAGTCAAAATTCTTGTCAGAAGTAGATTGGAAACTTGATGTATATATGAATATCTTTTACATAGTAGTATACAATACAAATCCAGTTTTATGATTTCTTTCCTCCCTTGATTTTCTTACTAGGAATCATATAACTGATTTATGGATAAACTTCTGTGTGTAGTAAATCATTTTTACCTTTATTCCTCTAAAAATTCAAAATTCCTCAAGGGATATTGCATCGTGACATGGCTAAATGGCCAATTTTTTATGGAAACATTCTGCATTTAACTTGATCAAAATGTCATTTATTAAACTAAATATATTGTCACTGTCCCATGGGAAACAGAGATATGTAAACACCATAACCAAAAAAGATCATAAACTAACAAATACAAGTTTAACACATTTCTCTGAAGAAAACATGAGACTGGTAGAATGTCAGAAAGCCCTGTCTTGAGCATTTCCCTCTATTGGGAAACAGGATGGAACATTGTTTTTAATAAATTTTTGTCCCAATAAAACTGGTGTAGAGATCCAAATAAATTGCCCGCTTAAATTATTATGAAATTATAGTTGTGTCACTGTTTACTGATTGATCATAGAAAACATTTTTTGATGAGAATTAGAGCTTTTTATCAAACTACAATTATATGACTGTCAAGACTTATACATAAGGCTTGATGAATATGCATTTATTCATAAGTCACGTCTTCAATTTTCAAAAATTAGGAATTCATGTCAACATGTTCATGACATCTGCTTAACTCTTGACTGTTTTACGCTGAGTAATAAGCTCGTGAATTGGGCTTTTTTTCATAAATAGTTTGACATACTCAGAAAAAAGATATGTATCATTTAAATTAACTATCCCAGTTATTTTTATAAGAACTTAAGCTTTAAATACATGCATGCCATATCTGTGTGTTGAAAGTATTGATTTTTGTATTATTACTAATTTTATGTGGATGAAACAAATAATGCAAACACAATTTCTGTAAGTTATTAGTAAATACTTCAATATGATGAAAGTCACTCTTTTTGTTTCAGTCCTTTAACATATCCAATTTATCCTCTATTGTCTTTATTCAATCTGCGTCATTTGAAACCCTTCATACCTACTGACTTTTCCCCCAACTTGTTGCAGCAATGAACTTCAAGTAAAATAATTCCAAATTAGATACAAAATTACAGGAGAAAAAATACATAATGTAATAAAATGCTTGCACATGTCAAAATTTATCAAACTATTTTTTTAAAAAACAGGCAAGAAATTTACACAAAAAGATTCATAAGACAAAATATGAATATTAAATTAGACCCGGACTTTATACAAACAAGTGAGGTACAAAGCATTGTATACATAATACATACATAAGTTACAAAATTGTCTAAAAATAAAACGTAGTGTAAGAAGCATCTTAACACCTTACGTGTCACTATAGTCACACCACCCGAGAGCTTTAGAAACTATGGAGGTATGCCTCCTCAAAGTTCTACTAAAGCTTCTTCTCAAAAATCACAATTGAACATCATATTTTAGCATGCTTCAATGGTTTAAATAAAGATAACGTAACAGTAGTACTGATACTGAAAATTAAGCCCTTGTTCTACGTTTTTGTACTCAACATTCTCAGTTGTATCAAGCTACTTTTGAAGCATTGAAAACACGCCTTGTTTGTATAAATGTTTTGACAAAAATCATCAATATAAATTTCAGATTACTACACTTTTTGAAGTGTATGAACAGAAATCTTAAAACATCATTGGTAAGACAGAAACGTGTGCCACATGCCCCAAGCTCTACTTCATAAATAAAATGAATATCATTAAAATTATGTATTTAGAACATACTTAGTTGAGTTATTACATCAAGAAAATGTTCTGTAAGCTACATATTGTAAGTTTCACAAAAGGGGAGAAAAAAGAATTGTAAATTTCAAGAAAAGAATTTATACAAATGTTGCAAATTAAAATCTTATCAAAGAAAATTGCAAGATCTGTAAATGGTCTAGTGGTGCTTTGAAAACGGCAACGACATCCAAACTGATTATTTGTCGAGACAGAATTTTAAAGCAAAACGAAATGTTCACATTCAACATAAGTCATTTAAAATTGAAATCTATACCCACTCAAGCCTAGAAACTTCACAGGATCATTAAAGGATTTAACCTTGTTTGCCTCAGCTCAAATATTTTAAATACTAAACAATTACCAGCGTTATAAAATTAAAATGTGTATCACATGTTCCCATTAACAAAGTAGGCACTATATTCTCTCAAAATATTGACTCTCATGGCTAAAAAATAGCATATATTAATTAAAAGAAGAAAAAAGGTGGGCCCTAATACTTCAATATCAAGAGTAAACAAAGCCACTGAATTTGTCTCCTAATTAAATGATAAATTAGGAGTAATGGTTTAAGATCATTACTTCATTGAAATACCCCATGAAATGTCATTATGAATGTTTACAAAGACCATTTTTAGAATTAAATATAATTGGAGGAGTGCTTGAAATATCATTTCCTAAAAATGTGTGTAAGCAATTTATATAAGGAAAGGTTAATGTTAATTAATCAAAAATAAGTAGATGTATTAATAGAAACATTTATTTACTTCAACACCAGTAACAGAGTTTCATAGTGTTTCAAAAACTGAACACAGTAGGTACAGATGAAGTTCTCAGGACAAATCGAACTATTTTCATCCATTTATTCATTTACAGTCATTTGATACACACTACTATTTGTTTCAGAACTAAATTTTTAGTGTGTAGACAAAGGCTGAAATAAAGATTACAAGTCCTGATCAAGATTACAACTGGACTTTTAATCCACATACTTAAGAATTTGAAATTTAAAAATAAAGGGTCAAGGAAGCTGCTGTATTCCGGCGGCGTGAGTCTCTTCACGGGGTGAGATAGCATGTGTGGACAGCTCTCGCCGCCAGCGCCGTCACATGGAAGAAATGAGCTTTGGTGGTAAATGACCAGTGTCTCCAAGAGCATGGAGAGTTACACGTCCAGATGGTAGAACGCTTACCCAAGTGATGCTGGCATGCTTCAAACCAATGCGCAACCATGCCTCTGGAGGGAACTGAAGAGCCCTGCAAACAGAAAATAATTACTACAGTTGTGTAAATAGTGAAAATCTATCAATATTGCAACTGTAATAGCTAGTAAAAAACACCAAGGAAAGAAATAAGAAAGGTATAAAATAATCCACTTCATTTTTACAAATATTGATTAATGGATAAATTAGACTTTGTGTTTCTATTTTCTGCTTAGACTATGAACAAACACCAAATTTTATCTTAAAAGCAATAAGCTAAAAAATAAATTTTAATTCGTATTACCATTTATAAACGTGCACAATTGAGATTTGAAAATCTTTATGAATTAGTATTACTGTCATCAGGCCCAATATTATTTACTGTCACCTTTTCTAGGCTACATTGTTTCTCCTTTCTCTTAAAGAAATTCGATACAAATTTCAGCTTGTATCTTTAGAATACGTAAATAACAATTAACCAAATTTCCATTTATCCACATCAGTTTGTATGTTGAATAACTTACCTGCAGACAAAGTAACGAATCACGTTGGCATGGCACACTAATATTTCATAGCTATCTTCTTTTTGTGATGCAGGAGCTCGATGGAAGTATTTTCGAAACGCAGCTTCAATGCGGGCACCATCTTGGTAGAACTGCTGCAACAGATATCTCAAACTGTCAGACAAATTATGTCCACTCATATGCTTCCAACAGTAAATATGCTTGCTAAGTATATGTGTATATATATAAATATTTACTGTTGGAAACATATGAAAAATATATTTTCTTCAATTTGAACATGCCATTCTTCACACCCTTAGCACGTAGTTAAACTAAGGACCGCTAGATGGAATGAGTAGTACGATTATTAGAAGAAATTTACATACGCATGAGTATAGATTGGAAATTTAGAAGAAAAAAATATTGAAATTAAAATAAGTGGTGTAAATAGAGAAGGAGTAGTAGTAAATAGTTTTTGTACAATAATGTCAATAATAGTTGATAAAAATGAATAAAACTCCACTCTGTTTACAGGGAAACAGCAAATTATTATCTGGCATAAATAATTGTCTTATAGACAATAAAAAAAAACGGGAGCAAATTTACTGGATTTCATTTAGAGTGACTTTAGTTGAGTGGATTTATGGAAATATTGTTCCTTTGATTCTCAAATGTATTACCAAGTTTTCTACTGGATATAATATTTTGTTTTTGTGATTACAAAATAAATGTACATCCCCTACAAGAAACAATTGGATATATTAACAACAAGCTATAAAATTTCATAAATATCAATTATTGGAATTCAAACAAACCACTTCCCTTCAGAAATTACATATTAATTAATTAATTTTCTTCGTTTCAAATTAATTCCATTCTTCATTAACGTTCATTATGTTACAGATGCAATAAATGGAATTTCATTATGATGAAATAAGTACTTATCTGATTTTTGAAAACTTTGTAATACAACTTACCAATACTTTTGTACAAAATGAGAGAATGTGTTTATACAAATGATTACTAATAGGTACCAAATCTCTATTCGCTCCCTTGGTGGTTGAGAAAACTGAAATCCAAAGCACTTTACGCATTCTACCAAACATATGAAAGCAACTACAAATTTCAATACTGTGGAGATTATATTGTTATGTGCCTTCCGTTCTTGCAAAGCAGAACCCACTCACATGGAACTCTGGTTTCCAGTGGCCGACAGGGGGCTCTGGAGGAATGGGGGCACCTTCCTGTAGCATGCAGCAATCATTTATAGGCAGCTCCTTTTCCAAAGCCTGCTCAATGTACTGTGCTGTTTGAGTGGCGCGAGTCATAGTAGAGCGCACTAATTTTGTGTATGGTAAAGCCAATTCCTTAAGACGTTCACCAGTTCGCACTGCCTGTTGTTTGCCTGCAGGTCAATTATAATTCTTATAGTAAGCAATCAGAGACATTAAAAAAGGGCAAACAAAAAATGAGAAATGCAAGCATAATGTATGGTACACGTCATGAATAAATAAACATAATACAAATGTAATGAGAATACAGCAAAACCATTTTCAAGAATTAAGTTATTTTCAAGAATTCCAAGATTTCCAAGAATTTAATTTCTTTACAGTTTTAAACATTTAAATAATGATTTGCAAGTGAATAATTTTTAGTTACTTTCACTTTTTGTAACATCAATATGACAACAAAGTTTAAAAATGCTCATTATAATATTTATATCCTCCTTTCATTTTCATATATGAACAAAAACTTGGGTGTAGAAAAAAATGTACTGCGTGCTGCCTAAGAATTAATTTGTATTTGCAAGGCTTTATAACCTTTTCTGACAAAGGAATATACCTTATTTTAAGATTTCACACAATGGTTTGAGTCAATATTAACGTGGATTTTATTACTTAAAAGAGTAATTTTTATATACGTTTGAGCAAATGCATCATATCTTTAAAAATACTCAGTGAATTAATTTAATTTTGTAGAAAGCGATAATTTGAGTAGCTGGAACAGTCATAACAATGCTACCACTTATCCTGGCTGAGGCATTGCACTGTGACAAGAAGGCTTCGCAATTATGCTATTATGATAGTTCACTGAAGAGTAATTTTTGCTACATAGCAAAATGCTACATGGAAATAAGAATTGGAAAAGTTCTTAATTCTGTATAGCATAATTACCATTAATTTTATCAACTACCCATTTTCAACAAGTCCACCAAACTATTTACAATTTCCATCATCAGAGAACATTCTTCAAACTAAACCTCAGGCGTGCCATTCAAGCAAGTAGATTAATATAACAAATGGAGGATTAAGAAGAGCTATGCTTCATAACAATCACATAGCATAAAAATAGAGAAAATAATAATGCAACTATTGCTAAAACTGATCAAATATTAATTCATAACATACATAATGATATAGAAGGGCAGAGTAAGGTTGAAACATTGCTACTTACACAAGCAATTCTAACATTCACGTTTCATGCGGCAAAGTGAATTCAATACATCTTGGAAAACAAATAAACATGAAATTGCATTATATGCATAACCAACAAATTTAGTAATTATTTTTCAATATATTTTGCCATTTGTTTACGTTCCCAATACATCCTTTTTAATGTAATGAATAATTGTACGTAATTTAGTGTAATAAATGTATTGTTTAAAAAATAATTGCCCCATTTTATGAAGCACGATTCCATGACAAACTGATAACTCGGCTTCTAGGAAGCACATACCATGTATGTGCTACCCAAAAGCCATTATGTGTATCACAGAAAATTAAATGACTTTCCAAAATGTCTTTTAGTCACTTGTCATGGGGACTATCATAAAGCTCTTAAGTTGTAAAAGTAATTGCAAAATGAGAATGATATTTTCGAGCTAAAAAATATTCAAATCAGTGCTCTTAAAAAAATAATCTAGTATACTGTAACCACTTTTAATCAGCAACCAGTTGTCCTGTAAATATTATTTTGATAGTTTCTGGATGGAAGTGGAAAATATGATTTAAATTTTTAATTTAAAAAAATAAAATTGACAATTTATTTAATATTGGAAAATGAAAAATTTGTATGATAAAAACGATATTAACGCATGTGAAATCATTTTATATCGTCAGGATTAGAGTCCTGCGCACACAATATTCTAGGTCGTAAGGCAGACTCGTAACGAGCGTCAACAAACCACCCGCACTCTCACGCTAAAGTTATGCAACAGACCTTACCCAATTCGGTCAGCGTCCGCTCGCTGTCGCGCGTACCGTCCAGGTTGTACTGACCATGTCGTATAAGCAGAATATGCCGTGTTGCTTTCGGTTTCACCTTTTGCACTTCCTCGTTGAACCTGTTGTCGTCGACGGTCCCGGATGACGGCTTGACCAAGCTCTGAGGTTCCATCCTGCAATACAAAGTGGTCATAACAAGTCGGCGTGTCATGTATGTTTTCTAACTGTCAGCTCACCTGTCCCAGTTTGTGTCCCATTTTTCACTTGGGGTAAAATTGGTGGTCCAAGAGGCATACGCGTGCTTTTTATTTTCGCTGTGAAAAATATAATAAGACACCAAGGCACCTCCAACAGCGCTCGCCCCAGCAACAACGTAGTGCTTGAACTTGCCGAGATGCGACATTTTATCTACACACGCCTACCGGCGGAAAAACCTTTCACTCCCTTAATGATAACGTCAAGGAATGAGCAAATTTCCTAGAACTACATGACACTACTGCCACACATAAACGCCGACGAAAGAATTACAGAATGTGTTGTACTTGTTATCTTTATTTTACGACCACGATTCAGTTCACAACACAGCACGCGATAACCGGCACACGCCCCTGAAGGTAACTCCTGTCTTGTGACTTCTTATACTTCCGTGATTACTGCGATGTTCGTAACATCTATATTATTTCAGTCTTCAAAACAAATTTGTTTTAAAAAAACACATTAAGTAGTATTACATAGTATAAACTGATTAAATGATAACAATTTTACACAGTATTAAACTACACTGCCTATTCTAAGCAATTCTAAGAATAAATGCACGAAGATACTTATATTTCAGAATAATCACCAAGTTGTCGTTAGTCAGCTGTTCACCTGGCAAAATCTTGTCACTGGAACTTCGAGCGTATTGGAAGACCTTTGAAGATTGACCATTTTCGGTCATTTTTGATTCGAATTACTTTTTGCAGTGAAAAATCGTGAAATCAAATTTTATTATCTCTTACTTCAGTAGTGTGTTTGGTAGGTCTTGAATTCTTAGTAGTTTTGAAGTACTTAAAGTAACGTGAGCAATACGAGTAAGTTTAAAATTGTGATAAATTCAACGTCTGAAGATGTCGAAAACTGTGGATATGGAATTAAAGAAGGTTCGTCTTAATTTTTTTTTCTAATGCATGTATTAAAACTCAACAAAGTAGTAAATTTCGGGACTAATGAAGAATTGATCCACAATAACCTTACTTTTTGTTAACAGGCATTCACGGAGCTGCAACAAAAAATGTTGGAAACTACTCAGAAATTGAAATTGGCAGATTTGCAGATAGAAGCACTGAAGCGAAATATTCAACATTCACTTCTAACAGACAAAGAAATATCAGTAAGCACTTGATTTCTCACTGATATGTAGACCATTAAATGTCGCATAAAAGGTGCGAAGTTATTAATATTTTTATTTGGGTCAAGTTGCATTCAGAAGTTCTCCTGATGGATAATCTAAAATATTTTACTCATATACACATTCTGCACTGAGCAGTTATTGCTTTTACTCACAATTTTATGCAGTGTTTTGTTGTAGTTATTATACTTTATAGATATTTTGATGAAAGAAATGCACGAGAAACAAATTATTTAAATGTTACTGTTATTTTACATTGAGCCAAAATAATTAGTAATCTTATAGTGGCATTAAAGATATATGAGAATCTTGCATTTAGCGATATGAATACAGATTTTAAAATTAGTATACCTCAATAACGTTATTACTAAGTCAATAATATTACAATGTAATAAGTTTTCTAATCCATTCTTGGTTTTGATAGGCATTGTCTCCTGATACAAGGACTTACGAAACTGTTGGCCGAATGTTTCTGCTTACTGATATTGCAGATGTGAGGAAAAATTTACAGAAGAAATCTGACACTTACTCAGAAAAAATCAAATCTTTGGAGGTGCGTATATGGAAAGTTCTACTTATTTTTGTATTGTTAAGTAATCTTTGAATAGTTTTGTTAATCTATTTCATTCACAATTTTGTCATTGTGTTAAATGAGAAGAAATACAGAGATTAATGGTCATGTCAACTTTGACAGATGAAAATGTACAAGATTTTGAAATGTGAACACTAATTAACTAGTAATAAGGATATTGTTAATTCAGAATTTGTGTTCGCTGTTTTGGAGACAATTATAATTCTTGTGAAAGCATTTTGCAACTAGTATTTCTATTTTTGTTGTTATTTTAAGTTTATCTATTGTATTTTGCAGAACAAGAAGAATTATTTGGAACAGAATTTGAAAGATAGTGAGAACAATCTACGGGAAATGGTGCAGCAGCGCAAGGAAGCTGCGGAAAATAGCTAGTGATCTTCACCAATATTGCTTTTGACCCATTTTCTCTTCTTAGAACATTCACAATTATTGCTTACTAACTGAACCTTTGAACTTTAATTAAAATCTTATTTTGTGATGACCTGTGTGTAACACTTAAGCGAAGTGTTTCTTTTTTAACTTCATCCAAGACATTGTGACATTTAACATTGTTTTGCTTATAAATATGTGTTGTGCGAGTGATTTTGGAACAAAATTTGAAGAACTGTGAACAATGTGTGGAATAATGCAAAGAAACCACTAGTGACCAATGTCTGCTTTGCTTTTTTCTAATATTTCTAAATATGAAATCTTAAATTGTTTAATTTAATTTTGGTCGTGAGAAAATAAAAGAAGCCATTGTTTCAAAATAATTTAATTTGCAGTTTTATGGGAATTTTAATGTAATTCAATTTTATGAAGATCCTCTATCAGCTATGTTTTATCTTCTTCCATACAGATTTTATAATGTATTTGACTGAAATTTACCTGTATTTATCTTTTATTAGCTTTCTGCAGCAGAATGTCATCTTTTCCTCAGAGCCCCAAAACCTTTGAAATATGGTTAATTGCTCAATACTAGCAGTAACCATAAACTCAAGTATTTTTTGCTGAAATAATTTGTGGCACTTTATCTATTTTAATACAGTTACGGTTTCGTTAAGTAAAAGTTGCAACACCCAAATATTTCGAAATGTGAAGAACTTTCTGGCTGTTAATTTTTTAAATATGTTACAATTAAATAACATTTACTGAAATACAACATGTTACACTATGAATTGAATGTATGAAATGAGATTTAATATGTAAAGTTATATATTTTAACAATTATGCACTATGAAATGGTTTTGGTTTCATTCATGTTGAAGGAGCCAAAGTATGTTGTCAAGGCTAATCTTGATATATTCAAGAAAAATTTGGTTTAATTCACAAGGTGTATGTGAAGAAGTGCACAGAAAAAGTTTTAATAAGCAGAGCAAGACATGATGAACCAAAGGCCTAGAATGAGAATCATACTTGATTCAAACTACGGGAATAATGTATTCTGAAGTGGCTAAAACAGTACATGTAGGGAAAACATGTTAAAGAATTTACTACTATTTTTTCTTGAAAATGACAAAATTACTGAAACATAAACTAACTGTTCCAGCCCTGAGAGTTTTGTTTTCTTTGGATATTTTTAAAATTGAAGTTGACATCAGGTTTAATTGTGTTTTTTGTTTAGTTAACTAAATATGCTCATTATTTCCATGAAAATATCATTGATTATCTCTATAGGCTTTCGTGGCCGAAGTCAGTATTTACATGGCTATCCGAGTGACGCTGTGTCCATGGCGAAGGTGTTGACGTTTCAGTCGCCATTCTGTGACCTTCCTCAGGGCGTAAAGCAATGCATGCGATCGCATTACGCCCTGGAGAAGGTGGCAGAATGGCGACCAAAACGTTGGCACCTTCACCATAGATGCGGCGTCACCCGGACAGCCATGTAAATTCTATATTAATAGCACATGTGCAATTAAAATTCTACATCTACCAATCAGAATTCAGAAAGGAAGACAAATTGTTTAATTAAAAAACTATAACAGACATAGCCAAGGTATTTCCAGTCGGCCATAAACCATGAACAAAAATACATTGCAGATGCATACCTACAACAAGTACATAAAAACAACTAATAAATAAAACTAAAAATTGGGGAAGCTGCTAAGCTAGCTGTCTTATGGAAGAACATAAAATATTTAATGTGAATAAATTAAACGTATTACATGTAAAACTGAGTCATAAGTGACTAGTCTCGCCCCCCCCCCCCCTCTATATCTATACATGCTGTATTCTCTCTCATACCTGTCTTTACTTTTTATGGAAAGTTTATGTTTTCATGACTTTGTCAGCTTCTAATATTTTATCCACAATATGTTCAGTACCTTCCATTTGCAAATATTTCATCCAAGCGATGCAAGGCAATGGATTTTTTCGGAAGCAATATGTCATCAAAAATATGCTCAGTTGGTAAGGTTGTGCTTCATTATCTCAAAATTTAAAGTATTTAGTGGAAACAAAAAAATATTGAATGTACCGTGTATAAAGGGGCATGATTGCACTTGTGATATGTAAGAAAACTTGCTCCTATTGTTGCTTGTTTTCTTGAACTTACCACTCATGCAATTAATGATTCTTTATACATTCTTGTTAATTACAAATTACAACTTAAACAATTCAATTATACCCTACACTTCAGTTATAAAATACAGACATATGTTTACGCACAGATTTTTCATGCACTTTTTAAAAAAATGTATTAACTTGTGCTTAAAAATACTACCACCTTCTCTCAGAAACACCTTCTCAGTTTCTATCATTACATGCTTCCTCATAGGTAGTGTCCAACGCCTATGACTTGTCACTTATTCCTTTACTCGCAACTAGCCATTTTCTTTCGCCACCAAACTCGCAAGTAAACTACACATGACAATGAGTTCACATTCTGTGAGCAGACCCGACACTTGAAGGAGGTCCTTTGGCAATAAGTATAGGCAATGGCCATAGAGATCAGTAACCTTCTTTCTTACCGAATGAGTTAAGCAAACGCATGGTTATTTCATCCAGACATTTATTAAAATCATCTTTGTAATTTGAGACAAATTAATTCCTCTACCAGTTAGTGACTAGATATTAGTTCAAAACAGCTTCATGTTACCGCGTAATGGTCGTCAATTTACGAAAAGTGCCTGTCGGGGTTCACCCAGGTGACCGCTGAAAAGGCAATTTTTGGAGGGCTTATGGAAAAATAAAAAATTCCGTTAATTGAGGTGACCGCTGGACCAGGTTTCCCTGTAGTGAATGGAAACAAAAAATAATGAAAATTAAGTGGTTATATATGTGTACATTGTAAATTATTACATCTTCCGAGAAAAATCGGTCACTTAATGAAGGGTATCATTTTAATTACCTTAAACTACAAAACTCGTCTAAAACAATAAGCTACACTTGAATTTTAAGCTACAGGTAATTCTTTTACTCATGTATTTTATTACTTTTACAACTAAAAATATGTCAGAATTGTTTAAAAGAGTTTACTCTCTTTTTAGCCGCACAGACCTCGAAACTTCACACAAATGTTTCCGATGTTTTTTTTAGCTGAAACTTTTCCCTTTTTCTAGGATCACATTCTCAGCTAGTGTCAAACATCCATGCCTCGTGAAACGAACTCTCCGAACCCACCGAATAAAAACTCGGTAGCAAAATAGATTTCACAATGCAATGGACTTCCGCGTGTAAAGCGAATTGATTCGCGAATGGCCATCAGATCGGATTTGCACACGCAACCGTTAAAAAGCTCATACATAGACGAAGAAGAGATTCTGTCGCGGGAAAATTTTGAATCAACAGTATATCCACAGCTTCGCTTATTTGTTTTCGGTTTTCATAAAGATAAATTTATTTAAACTACAATAAGTTATAACCTGGTGGCAGATAAATACATAAATAAGGTAATACAAGTTATATGCAAATTACAATGGTAATATAATAATAATAATAATAATAATAATAATAATAATAATAATAATAATAATAATAATATTAAAAATGACGATTCATAAAACAGTAAGTTCCATTATGAAAATTAAACTTCTATAATTTAAATCCGCTCTGAATGTTTGTAATTAAGTCCACACTGCGCTGGCATTGCATTTCACTTCATTGTGACACTGAAGTCACTTCCTTCGTTATTTCTCTGTCCTAAAGGTGAACTATTAATAAGAGTCAATCTTCGAAATGTACCTGGCCGCTGACCGCGGAGACTGGTAGCCGCCGAATTTTTATACGCACCTCATGGAAAAATCAAACGGTTCGGCGAAAGATGGCCATTATTGGAGGTTAATTCTTAATAGGGGAGGCCTTTATTGAGGAGGTTTCGCTGTAGATAAGGATTTAAGATACAATTACAATCGCGAGTTCGGCAGATGTCTATTCCCTGAAATGATTTATAGTACATATTACAGATTGATATTTGTTTTGTTGTTGCGTTTGAATGCTTAAATGAATGTTAATTACATGATTTTTAGTTCTTTAATATTATTTCAAGTATTGTTGTATTCGGAAAGTCCATGAACTACAAAATATCTTAGTACAAAGACTAAAATTCTGCTTGAAAGGCAAAATTGGTGTTTCTCTCTGTTCTTTTGTGATGACTTGGACTCTCTCTCCACCGCCCCACACAGCGGAGGAATATAATTTACTCTATTTTTCCGTCCTCACTCTGTTCTTACCACGCGATTGTTTGAGAGGGTGACAGTTCGCACTCAACGCAATAGAGGGCAGTACAGTGCTAGAACCCCTGCGACAAGTTGTGATACTTATCTGCACAACACATCAGTATTGAGAAAAAAAAACATTCAGGGGCTCTTTGATGCATGATGGAATGAATACAAGCAATTGAGTCACTTAGGGCATAACAATTTGTCTACCGAATAGTAATGCGATACATATTGCAAAACTAAGACTTATTTTTGGAGGTAGATATTTATGTGGTTGCGTAGGCTTCCGCCGCCGGAGTTTATGTTGTCTGGGCTATCCTGGACGAGCCGCGTCAATGTCATGGTGGCTAACGTTTCGTCCAGCGTATTGTGCTCAAATCAACAGTACGCTCTGAAGAAGGCCACAATACGCTGGTCGAAACGTTAGCCTCCATGACATTGATGAGTCTCGTCCCGGATAGCCCAGACAACAGATATTTATGTGTTTTTAGTAAGGAAACGGGAATAATTAATGTTTACGAATTGTTTGTCAATGACTGGCGAATAATTGCTTCTTATTCTGCCGCGTTGGCATTACCGATTTCGTTTAAGAGCTTAAATTATATTAGTTGCATTAATGGTATTAAATTCTAAAAAAATAAAAAAAGGTAAATTAAAAAACAAACAAACAAAAGAATGAAGAGGGAGGTAAACGTTTTTTTAGCCATAAAAGTTAAACTTACTTAAACTCCCCTATTTTTCTGAGATTTTTAGTTAATGCAGTTTTGGATATAGTAATAATTTAAAGGAAAATTTCCATAACTTGTGTGAAGCTTTTCAGTAAGATCCGCTCAATCTGAAAGTTCCTGTTACCGTAGGACAGGTCACTTTTAATTCAACAGTGTCAGTTGATGTAAATTTCACTCAAAATTTAGTGATCATTTCCCCACCTATTTCTCCCAAGTAAATCATCTGGGATTGGTAAATAATAGGGTTTGGACCGGGGACAGTCGGACCGGTCAGACAGTTAATCTCACTGAGCTGGCAACCGAAGATTAGGTGAAGCGAAAGTCATTTATGGGATGGGAGCCTTTTTCACTTAAAACTGTGTGTCCCCACCTACTACATCCAAGTAAGTTATACGGTCTTAACGATTGATTGGGAAGGGAACGGGGAGTGTCGATGGGCTGGGAAGCCAGCATCACGACCGATCACACATTCGCTATCATAGGGTACGTAAAACTGAAAGATTTTACGATTTTAGGCCCAAAAATCTTGTACACCTCCCTAATATCATGTAGGCTCCCCGAGAGCAGGCAGAAGTTCCGCAACACGAAGTGGCATGGACTTAACTAATGTCTGAAGCAATGTTGGAGGTATTTGATTCCATGAATCCTGCAGGGCTGTCCATAAACTTGTAAGAGTACGAGGGAGTGGATATCTCTTCTGAACAGCACGTTGCAAGGCATCCGAGATATGCTCAATAATGTTCATATCTGGGGATTTTGGTGGCC